TTTTAAACAAAATGAAACTATTAAAATAATTCTATAAAATTAATTTATAATCCCTTAGTCTTTAAGTAAAATTTTCTTATAGATTTTTCAAATAAGACCAAATATTTTTCAAAATAAAAAAAATCTGTAATAATTAATTTTAGATCTGGAAAAAATAAACCATTAATAAAACATGAAGTAAAGACATGCTTATGCTAAGATGATAACGGAATAAATGTAAATTTGATTTTAATCATTCATATTTATACTTATATTTATTTTCATTTTCATTGACTATAAAATATATGTTTTATATGTTTTTGTTTTCACATACATATCCTTTTCAAATATCAATAAATAATTTATTTCTCGGAAAATAAAATACATTATCATCAAATATTTAAATGATATACATTTTTTTAATGTCAAAATTGAAGGAAAAGATTATAATTGCATAAATTTTAAAATTTTAAAATTTTAAAATTAAAGTATCAAATAACAATACTATAAATATCAAATAATTATATAAAAGCCTAAATAATAACACATAATTAAAATTTCATGATAATATTTGTTATTTTTGTAAATATTGAGAAGTAAAGTACTCCAAAAATTTGAGTGATTTTAATGGATATTAAACTAATTAAACTTATGAAACAAACTATGGTGAAGAAATATTTTTTCAAACAAAGTGAAATGAATAACAAAGAAAAAAAGACAAAATAAAATGATTCAATAGGATTTATACAATTCAAAGCTTGATATTGATGGTGAGAGATTCTCACTTGACAAAACTTAAACAACAAATAAAAATACTTAAAAATAGAACAAATGATCAAATGTGTAACAATTTAATTGATTTACTTTCATTTAAACAAGTTTTATATATCTTAAAATGTAACACATGATTTAAATTGTATATAGGAAAAAATATATGATAAAGGTTGTGATGAGAAAAAAAAATACTTTAAAGATGAAATAAGTAGATATTGAATGAATTGAATAATTGAAGGTTCTGGAAAATTGTATAGCATAAAAATGTTAATATAATAAACTAATAGTGTTTTAATAATTTAAAATAAAGACGAGTATAAAATTTAATTCTCTGTTTCATTGATTAAAATGATATAAAAAAAAATATGAATTTTGTAACATCCTAAAAGTATAAAACCATAGCATAGAATATTCACAATTAACAATATTACAGTTTAGTTCTGAAAGAAAATAGGTACGTTTATGGTCGAACGATTTTACAATAATACTCCAGAATTTAACTTACAAAACAAAAGTCTAGATCGAACGGTTCCAAGACTAACTTACACCGATCGATTATACAAAATGGAACCAAATTCTAACGACCGAACGGTCTTATGGTGCAACTTTCACTTCCACTTCTTCCAAAGCTTCTTCTAGCAAACACTCGCCCCTGCTCACATCCACAGGATGATCATTGCGACAGAAAGAAGAACCGGATGGACAATAAGACAAGATAGAAAAATAGGGTAAGCTTATGTAATTTAATTAATTCAGTAAAACATATATCTCACATAATTCTGATATAATTCAATAGTCAAGCATGCAACAACCAATCATGCATTTCCGACCATAACCATACATCAATGCAGCAATGACCGATCACTTTACTCTGACTGTCCAGATTGTACGAATTATGTGTAGCTACGACGTTTTTGCACCTGGGTGATGTAGTAGCTGGGATGCCCTCAACAGCTGTCGCCCGATGTTAGTTCGTTCCACCCATTTTAACCTTATGGACTAGGACCTCCTGTCATTCTCACACATGACTTACTCCTCTCTACTTGAGAATGAGTAATCACAGAATATCAGGATAAACGCCACCTTAGCATGACCACATTCATACTTTACCATTCCATAACAAATCCTGAGATATTCCTCCCTGGAATACTCTTTCATATCCATACTATTCCATTCATATCACATTTTAAATATCATATTTCATCATCAATACAGTCAAACCGAACCCAGAAAACAAGATCCCATCTTGGGATAGAACTGAAATAGATAACCTAAATCTCAGAAGCAGGAACGAACAAGAGAATACTTTTTAGACTAACATAACCGAACACTTGGTGTAAGACCAAGCAGTCTTTCACTTATCCACAGAATAAGACCGAAGGGTCCATACTAGATAAAACTTTGGCGACACAGAACGTTTACTCGATACTCAACAGTTATGACCGAACGGTCTTTACTAGACAAAACTATAAGAATGTACGAAATGCATATAATTAGACTTAACCTAAAATCATGAAAGCTTTTAACTGAAACCTAAGAACTGAACACCACGAGCTTTTAACCGAACACTACTAAGTTGGACCTAACACTCCTAGTTTCAAATATAAGTACATAATTGAGGATTATGATAAGACCGAGCGCTTGGTTCAAGACCGAGCACTACTGAGCTTATACAATGAAGGAATATATTCTAAATACAAATACATATAACTTATTTTCAACAAAGGATAAATATAATATTTAAGAATTTAAGTATTATTGAATACCTTAACTAAGCTGATTTAAGAAGTAAAAATAGGAAACTATACGTAGGTCGAACGCTTATTTACAAGTATAATAATATAAAACCGATCGGTCATTAACTGAAATTCTCTACAGAAGAAGAATCCAATTCAGAACGAATGCTCAAAGGAAAATCGAACAGTCAAGACTGACTTTCAGAAACAATTACGAAATACTGCAAATTGAAACTCAGACTCTATTCATATCCAATTTTCACCATGTATAACCATCACTCACATACAGACAATCATACAACGACATTTATAATTCATCTCAACCATATATATATATATATATATATATATATATATATAT